ATTTGTATGGTTTTACAGTTTGAATGTTATGTTGTTTATATATATATATATATATCAAAATTGGACTTCTCTTAAATTTAAATTTGAATATGAGAAACTTTGAGGGCTTATAAGATCATCATAATTCTTATTTCGATAATTCGAACCATTTATTTTATAAGCTTTCAAAATCATAATATTTTCATTTGGGACGATTACAAATAATAAAAAAAAAAGGTTTGGCTAAGCGTTTGGGCTTGATAAAATCATTTTAGAATTGATTTTGGTGATCCGAACCATTCACTTTTTAGGATTCATTAAGTGGAATATTTATGCAAAAAATTAAGATGATTGGATATCGGTAACTATAAGTTTAAATCACGTGTTTTACAAAAATAGATAACAAATATAATTTCAATAATAATCATTCATTTTTTTTATAATACAAATTTGATTCAAATATATAGCTACAAATGTCCGAACATCTTGATTTTTTATATGAATATTCTACTCAACGAGTCATATAAAGTGAATGGTTCAGATCACTAAAATCGGTCCCACAATGGGTTACCAAGCCCAAATACTCTTTCAAGTTGCGATGGTGAACTTAAGAAAAGCCAAACCCTCCCCCATCCAAAAAATAGGATTTGAAACTTTTAACAAAATAAATCTTGAGTTTTTAATTTTATCAATTTAAATGATAATCATTTGATTTATTTTCAATCTAAACCATTCGTTTATTTTTTTTATAAGTAAAATTGATAAAAATAATATTTTAATTATTAAACTCAATATAAATATGTATAAAAAGGTTTTAACTCAATTATTAAACCTATTTTTCTATCAATTTTATATAACTACAATAGACAAATCATTTAAAAAACAAGACATTTATTTTGCAATCCTTAATAAGGTCCAAATCTAGTGCGGAGGCACCGTATGTTTGAACAAGCTGGGAAAAAGAGGTAAGGTGAAAACAAATAAAAAATTTAAGATGTAAATTGATAAAATTAAAAATTTAGTGTTTATTTTATTACAATAGTCAACTCTTAAATTTTTTTGTAACTTCTCGTTTTTATTTTATTGCATTTATTTTTTTAAAAATAGACGATAAGTATATTTTTTAAATAGACCTTTTAATTTATATTTTTGAAGACAAATATAATAAAAAGACAAAAAATACGATTATTGAATTAATATAATTTTTTTTTATGATATGCACAAATACTTTACAAATGAACATCTATAGACTTGTCCCAAAAAAAAAATTTATATTTATATTTAAATAAAAATAAATAAATAAACAAACAAACAAAAAAAAAGAAATCGACCAAAAAGTAAATATTTGGGCGGATGGTCCCAAACAGAATTTTGCTAACGAAAAACAAGAGGTGTACTAAAAGTTGACAAAATAGTTATTTAAACAAGGACAATGATGGATTGAAAGGTGAGTTGGTCGGTAACGATTGTCCTAAGTTTGTGGAGGTTAATCATAGGGAATCGCGAGAAGGTATTGACAAGTTTTGAAATATTGCCGCTAGTGTTTTAATGGTATTGGAATTAATAGAGGATGGGAGATTTATAAATTTATGTTGAATGATTGAAAAATATGAGAATACATGATAAATTATAATTAATAATAAATATAATTATGTGATACCCTTGAATCAACTAATAATTTTTCGCCAATCACAGCTTAATTGTTAAATTAAGGGCTGAAAGTATATATGAAAATTAATATGCACAACTTAAGTATTAGATTAAGAGCTAAAGTATATGAAAAATAATATGCTATAGTGACTACTAAAAAATGTGTGTAGTAATGTTGTTCATAACATTTTTATAAAATTTTGTTATATAATTTAGGATGGAGTTTTTCTCTAATTTATTTTGTAGATTAAACGGTATTGTTGGGTTTGTGAAACTCATCGAAGATTTCATTTCGATAATTTAAATCATTTAGAGTTCGTCAAATACTTCATTCCTACAAAAAAATTACGTTTATCGGATATTGATAGATATTTGATCAAAACACATTTTTGTTAATAATTTATTTTTAAAATCCTAACAAAGGGCTATCATTAACAAAAACATGATCTGATCAAAGGGCTATCGATATTTGATCAACGTGATTTTTGACAAAAATAAAGTATCAACGAATTCTATACATTAAATAATTTAGATTATCAAAATAAAAATTCCATTGTGTGGACTGGAGATAACCCTTATCCTATCATTTATTACAAAATGTCAAAACTTTTCTTTTCACAGAATTATATAACAATTTTTTAATATATATATATATATATATCATATGTAAGTTATGACACCAAATTATTTTCCATCATAACTGAATTATTATTATTATTATAATCAAACAGCTTTGAGATGTAACTAAAAAAATCTCTTTGATCATAGTCAAAATTACAACCATAATATGTCATAACTAAATCCCAACCAAACACCATTTGAGGCATAACAAAAAACATCTTTGATCATAATCAAAATAACAATCATAAGACGTCATAACTAAGTCATAATCAACATTATAATGAGGCATAACAAAATTATAATGGGTCATAACCAAATATCATAATGGCCATAACTAGAACATATGATATATACTTTTTTTAAGGTGTGTATTCTACAATTTCCCTAGAATTAAATTGTGATGGCTAAATTGATTTAGGAAAATTTTCAATCTAGTGCAAATGTTTAAAAAAGTTATAAATAAATAGTAATTTTTATACACATTAATAATTAAAATTATAAAATTTTCAATAATTTTGTAATAATTTTTTGGTACTCCCACTAACAAGTAAATATCCCCATTGATTATACATTGGGATCCAATTGAGAGATAAAATGAAATATTTTTTATAAAATGGGAACTAGATTGACATAATTTAAAGGGCGAATTACAGTAAGAGTCCCTATAATTTGAGGCTTGTATTCCTTTGGTCCTTAACTTTTTAATTGTAATACATTTGATCTTAAATTTTGAATTTTGTTCTAAATAAGGACAATCAAAAATATTTCATTTGCAAACAATCCATTTTAAGGACAAAGTCATCATATAATTTATTTTGTGTTAACACTTGTATGTTGTTTGAAATGTAATGACATTTTTTTTAATGAATAATGCTGAAATTTCTTGGTTAGAAAGTTCTGTTTGGTTTGGTTTGTCAAAATCTATTTTCAAATTTTGTTTTAACTAAAAATTAAATTGGTGAAAAAATTAAAAACACATCATTTTATATAATTTTATTTTTTAGAATGGTAGAACTAATTTTTGTATATTTATTTTAGTTAAATTAGTTTCTATTTTTTCAAAAGTCAAATATGGCGATAATTTTGATATCATTATTAAATCAATTCATTAAATCAAAAAATCTAAAAACAAAAATATTTCATATATTAAACATATCGATTACACATTAAAAGTCTAATAACTATCACACGATAACCATTCAAAATCTGTTAACAACAAATACAACCATCTATTACATGATAATCATATAAAAACATCAACAAAAATAGTCACACATTACATGATCATTATCCAAATACATACTAAAACTTAATTTGATAAAAAGATTAAAAAAATAAAATTGCAAAAGATTTATCATTTTTATATAATTTTATTTTTGGTGGGTAGAAATAATTTTTAAAAATTTAAAAATATTTTTTTGACATTTATTTTTATTAAACTAGTTTATATTTTATCAAATTGATGATTTTGCCCTTGAAATAGAGTAATGATTTTCAATTGTCCTTATTAGAAACGAGATTCAAAATTCATAGTCAAATATATCACAATTGAAAGGTTAGGGATCAAAATGACACAAATCTCGAACTACAAGTACCGTTAGTGTAATTCACCCTAATTTAAATATCGGGGACTAAAATGACCCTTTATCAAAATTAATATGTGCATTTATTTTATTTGTTGTAGTATGTATCAAATTTATTTGATTGTAAAGATTAGAAAAATTGATTGATTTGCCCCAGCAAAGAAAAAAAATTACAATAAATAAAAAGTGTTTTGATTATGAATTTTAAATAAAAAATTATAATATAAAAAAAATTTACAATTAGACTTTTTTTTGTTTTTTTTTTGGCGTTGGTTTGGGAGAATTATCGGTGAGAGAACATCATTGCTCATATATAAATAAAATAAAATAAATGCTTAAGATTTAAAATATTGACTCATATGTCGTATCAAATTTTTCAATCTCTAGACAGCGATATGGTGGTAGGAAATAACTTATGCATTGGCTATTTGTGAAATATATCAATTCATAATTGATTTTTGACTCGAGGCGATTGATTTGGCTATTATATTATAAAACCTTTTTTTTCGTGGTTGATAATGTTGGCACTTTATTTAGTTCTGATTTTCAAAAAATAGTTTTTTAAAAATTCTACTTTTTTATTTTCTATATTTTAATGTTTTCAATCAATTTTTTTAATATTTTACGTAATTTTTTTAAATTTTTTAGACACGCCTAATATAACTACACTTAAAAAGTATAATATTTGTGAAAAAAATCTTTAAAAAAAACACTAAATACCAAAAAATATTAAAAAAAAATGAAAATTAAGTACACTTTTCGTATTTTTGTATACTTATTAATTTTTTAAAATATTTTTTCACAAATATTTTACTATTTAAATACTTCTAGTTAAGGTGCACCTAAAAAAATGCTTAAAATTGAAAAAATATTCATTAAAAATAAAAAAAAACACGAAAAATAAAAAATTCAGTTTTTAAAAAATTAAATTCAAAAAATTGAAACCAATTTTGTCACCCAATTCTTAAAATGCTCAATATTTTTTATACCAATACATGTATAGTAGATTGTTATTGATCCACTTCTTAACACCGCTATTTAAAACATTACAAACAATTAATTATTTAAAACACTTTAAATGTTCAATAAAATATTATGGACATGAGCAAGATGAAGTTATTTATACCTTTGCTACAATGCCTTCTCCACCCCAACTAGAGTGTGCACCACAAACACACGCAAAGCAAAGAAACATACAGAGAGACATCTGCAATGGCAGTAGGTGATAATAAGCCTCATGCAGTTTGCATACCATACCCAGCTCAAAGCCACATCAAAGGAATTCTAAAGCTAGCAAAGCTCCTTCACCATAAGGGCTTTTATATTACTTTTGTCAACACAGAGTTCAACCAAAAGCGCTTAATCAAAGCTAGAGGATATGACTCCTTATATGGCTTGCCCAACTTCCAATTCAAAACAATTCCAGATGGCCTCCCTCCATCAAACCCTGATGCCACCCAAGATATTCCTTCTCTTTGTAGATCCATTAGAAAGAACTTCTTAACACCATTTCGCAACCTCCTTGCCAGCCTCAACGACTCTTCCATTTCAAACAACCACCCTCCGGTGACTTGCATTGTCTCCGATGGTGTATTGTCATTCACCATCACCGCAGCTCAAGAACTTGGAATCCCTGTTGCTGTATTCTGGACTTTTGCTGCTTGTGGCTTCATGGGATTTTATCAATATCGCGCTCTCTTGGAAAAAGGTCTTACACCACTCAAAGGTATATATGTATATGTGTGTTTGTATCAAAATTAGAAGAAAATAAAAATTATGAAGGCATGTTTTAAAGCTAATGTTGTTTATGATATACAGACGCAAGTTATTTGACAAATGGATACTTGGATACTGTAATAGACTGGATTCCTGGAATGAAAGATATTCGTCTAAAGGATCTTCCAACATTTTTTCAAACCACTGATCCAAATGATGAAATGTTTAACTTCCTTATGGAAGCAGCACAGAGAGCATGTGAAGCTTCAGCATTTTGTGTTCATACTTTCGATGCATTGGAGAAAGATCTTTTGAATGTTCTGTCATCTATGTTTCCCCATGTTTACACCATTGGTCCTATACAGTTACTTTTGAACCAGGAATTAGGAGAAGAAGATCCATTGGAGTCTCTCGGGTACAGTCTATGGAAAGAAGAACCCGATTGTCTCCACTGGCTTAACTCCAAAGAACCCAGCTCTGTTGTTTACGTGAATTTCGGCAGCATAACAGTCATGTCAGAGAAACAGTTGGTGGAGTTTGCTTGGGGACTTGCCAATAGCAACCACTACTTCTTGTGGATAATTAGGCCTGATTTGGTGATCGGGGATTCAGCAATTTTGCCACCTGAGTTCAATGCAGAAACTAAACAAAGAGGTCTAATTAAAGGTTGGTGCCCACAAGAAGAAGTCCTAAACCATCCATCAGTTGGTGGGTTCTTAACACACAGTGGTTGGAACTCAACTATTGAGAGCTTGTCGGCGGGGGTGCCCATGATGTGTTGGCCATTTTTTGCAGACCAACAGACAAATTGTAGATACACTTGCACTGAATGGGAGGTTGGTATGGAGATTGATAATAATGTGAAAAGAGAAGAAGTAGAGAAGCTTGTTAGAGAGCTGATGGAAAGAGAGAAGGGGAAGAAAATGAAGAGCAAGGCCATGGAGTGGAAGAAATTGGCAGAAAAGGCAACGACTCCAGTTGGGTCATCCACTTTGAATTTGGACAAAGTAGTGAATGTATTGCTATCACGAAACTAGGTGTCGTTTGATTTGATTTTTCAAAAACTGTTTTTAGATGAGTTTTTTATTTATTTTTAGTGATTTTTTAAAAATATTTTAATCAATTCTTTACACTTTTTAGATGCACTTAATCAAGATGCATTTAAAACGTTAAAAAAATTGACTAAAATATTATTAAAAAAAATCACTAAAAATATATGAAAATTTGAACAAAACTCTATGTTCATTTTTGTTCAGGTTTTTAGAATTAGTATTCTATGGGCCTCATAAATTTATGTTTGTTTGAGAAAAATGTTGGGAGGGGATCCCGCAAGGGGTGGGTTTGCTGATCCAATCCCATGAGATTGTTAGTAAAAATAGATTTTGTCCTCTATTTTACAAAAAGAAAAGTTAGGAATTATGAAAAAAATTTCATAAAAATGATCATGAAAAATTTATGATCCTTACCCAATTTTCCAAATGAATATTATTCTGCCAAATTGATTTTAGAATTAGTATTCTATGGGCCTCATAAATTTATGTTTGTTTGAGAAAAATGTTGGGAGGGGATTATCAATCCCGCAAGGGGTGGGTTTGCTGATCCAATCCCATGAGATTGTTAGTAAAAATAGATTTTGTCCTCTATTTTACAAAAAGAAAAGTTAGGAATTATGAAAAAAATTTCATAAAAATGATCATGAAAAATTTATGATCCTTGGATTACCTTGATTAGTTTGTGGTGCTTTATTATAAGTGTAATCTAAGGGTTACAAAACTTTCATGATACCTAGCATCACTGTTTTACAAATGAAAAATCTAAAAATCTTTGAGATATTGATTTGTGATTATGTTTCAATTTTAAATAGTGAATATCAATTACAATCAAGCAATCAACAACAAATCGGCATAACGACTTAACGTAGAAAAATTCACAATTGGAGCACCTCTAATTGTAATAAAAAAAATCATGGATCAAAGTCTTAAAACAATCCACTAAGAAAACAAAAATAAATTACACATGAGTTTCCTCAACTACCTAGCGAATTCATGCCCAAATTGAACCAAACCTGATGTGCCTCTTCCACCACCGTCTTCACCTCAGAATTGTTTTACCTAACATTGAATCCACAACGCCAATGTCGAATCCACAACGATGAGCCACGACGAAATCCACTAAAATTTCAGGCTCAAGTTCTCCAAAATCTATCGAAGAACACCTCTCTCTTTTGTGAATGAAATAATAAAAACAAATCCCTTGATGATGTTAATATGAAACTTGTAGATCTATCGATTACTCTCAAATCATCAAGGAAACCAATATATAAACACCCTCCAACATAGAAAATCTTTGTAGTTTTCCTCTTTCAGAATTTGGATGGATTCAATCCTAAAAATAGCAAACAACATATTTTATAACAAACAGAGCCGTGAAGATCGCTCGAGCCACCACTTTACTGCTCGAGCGATATGACTAAAAGGCAGTGCTCACATATAGGCCAACCACTTGAGCATTCACCGCTCGAGCGGTAAAACTTGTCTCCCAAAAGTTCAGACATAGGCAAAAATACTGAATGAATCACTTCCCCATCATAGTCAGTGAAGTAGCAAACAACGAATGCTCAAGATACGGAATGTCAACACAAACTCTTCTGCATATGCACAATTCGGGTTAGATTCACATATAAACACTCACAGCCTCACTAAAACAAAAGAGCGAATAAAATTACAATTAAAATGAATTTTGTCAAATGGGATTACCAATTACAAAAACCTAACAACAAAAATAACAAAGTCACCTTTTATATACTGAGAGTTTTCACGTAATTTCATAAGTTCAATCTCAACCAACTAATATTACTACATTAATACACAAACAAACACAATTTATCTTATATCTTCAAATCAATACCAACATACTAGTAATCCGCTTATTCAATCGTATTGTACTCATAATCTCACTCAACCTAATCAAGCAAACAAACATGGCCTAAGACTACTAATTTTGAGATTACCAATTTCGTAACATAACATATTTGATCTCACGTCCTAGATTAGGATGAGATATTAGTATATTCTTATCTTAATCACTAGACATGAATTAGAAGGGATTTTTTTTTTTTATAGGTGGAGGGTCTTTTGGTCTTTTCCAACCCTAATAATTCAAACCTTATTGCTCTCATTTTGTATTTCATTTTCATATGAATCAATAGTCCCACATATGAGGATGCACAATCTTGGGAAAAATGTTAATCCAAAAGCCCATTTTTGTGTCTAGACATGAAATTTGAGAATAATTGAGGTATGCAGTTAAATCCAATGACCTTGGAGGGGCAGTCTAGTTTTATTTGTGTTAGTTTTTATAATTAGTAATCTCGTTTGACAAAATTTCATTCAGTTGTAATTTTATTCGCACTTTTATTTTAGTGAAACTATGAGGGCTTGTTTGGTTTGTTTTTGGGAGAGTTGTTTTTGAAAAAAAATTAGGGAGAGAGTTTAGAAATTTTTTTTGGTTTGTTTGGTTGTATATTTTGGGAGAGTTGTTTTTTTTTGGAGTTTGGGATGGTTTGATATTTTGAGAGAATTTGAGTAAATATGTGTGAGAGAAAAAGTGATTGCGAATGAGAGAGGAGAGAGAAAAAATGATTGATTGATATGTAAGAGAGAAAAAATGATTTTGGAAATTTTTTGAGAAAAACTCAAACCAAACAATTTTTTAGAAATTTTTTTCTAAAACTCATCTCCCAAATGCAAACCAAATATACCCTGAGTGTTTACAACAAAAGTAACAAATGGTGACGAAAATTAGTGAAGAAAACAAATTTCGTTACTAAATAAGAATAATCTGTAACGAATTTTAAAATTTTGTCACATATAATAAAAAAATAAAAATAATAGGTGACAATTTATTTTCATCAATATGTATTTCTTTTTAGGTGAAGAAAAATTAATTTTCATCACCAAAGGTTTTTTCGCTAATATTTTTGGATGGTGCCAAAATTTTAAGACTTTTGATGAGAAAATAATTAGTCACCAATTATAAAATTATTAATGATAAATATATTTTTGTCAAAAATAATTTTTAATATTTTAATATCCAGTAAGAAAAATATTTTTGTGGACAATAACTTTTTAGTCTTTTGAGAGGGAGAAATAATTTATCAATTTTAGAGGGATAATTGAGTGGCAATGAAAAACAAATACGCTGTTAATTTCTCCCCCCCCTCTCTCTCTCTCTCTCTCTCTCTAAGAGAGAGAGATCCGTAGTTTTTGAATTAGCCATGGCGTGTACGAGCTTGGTGAAGTTAAACGCATCGTCTTCTCAGTGGATCAGTTGGCAATCCTTCAATCAACGGCCTGGATCTTCATGTCGATTTGCCTCTCCTCGTGTCTCCATTGTTCGTGCCGAATCTTACTCCGACGAACTCGTCAAAACCGCCGTGAGTTCAAAATATGCATCATTGAGCTGAGTTCGTTTTTATTTATTTATTTATTTTTGGGTTCTAATTATTGAAAGTTGTGAAACTCAAATTGATTGATGATATTTCTACTTGAATTTCATTGTTTACTAACAAATACGCTGTTAATTTCTCCCCCCCCTCTCTCTCTCTCTCTCTCTCTCTAAGAGAGAGAGATCCGTAGTTTTTGAATTAGCCATGGCGTGTACGAGCTTGGTGAAGTTAAACGCATCGTCTTCTCAGTGGATCAGTTGGCAATCCTTCAATCAACGGCCTGGATCTTCATGTCGATTTGCCTCTCCTCGTGTCTCCATTGTTCGTGCCGAATCTTACTCCGACGAACTCGTCAAAACCGCCGTGAGTTCAAAATATGCATCATTGAGCTGAGTTCGTTTTTATTTATTTGTTTTTTGTTTTTTGGGTTTTAATTATTGAAGGTTATGAAAGTCAAATTGATTGATGATAGTAGGCATTTTACCTATCTAAATATTACTATAAAGTATATATTTTATTTTACCTATCAACTGTTTTATGTTTTTACTCCAACCATGCTCTTTATTTTAGCTATTTATCCAAATACTATTAATTTTATAGAATGCCACGTCAACAACAAAGATGGAGGGAAATGATCCTAATGATTGAATACATTTTGCCTAGCGTTGAAGGCTAGCTACATGTAGCTAGTGAATATGAGTTGAGCCAAAATGCCTAATCATATGCCTAGTACATTAGAATTGAAAAAAGTGAATCACACTAGGCATTTTAACTAACAAGTATTATATGCCTAGTGCATTGGAGATGCTCTATGCTAATTTTTTTGGGGTAGTTTGGATGTGATTAGTTTAGAAGGCGAACTTTTGTTGATTGATATGAAATCAAGATTTGAAGATGGAATCTTATTTTTAATCATGGTTGATTAAATAAAATATTTCAGTCACGTTATAATTGATGGTTTGGTGTGGGGGTTGGGTGGGTAGGTGGGTCAACTTGCTTTTTTTTTTTTTTTTTTGAGGGCTCTTCTTCCTCCTCTCCGCCCTTGCTACTTCCTGCTGTCGTCGCCCCTTCTCACCGTTCAGTACCGCCGCCGACATTGCATCTCCAAGCAAGTGTATATATTGTTCTCTCTCTATTCTGGACTTGTATAAACAGGGCTCCACTCTCTACATCAAAACCAGTTTTTTTTTTTTTTTGGTAGGTTCTTGTTTCTTTAATTTTTTTCTATATTGCTTCAATTTCGTTGAGTTGTTTTAGAATTTTTATGGATTTTAATCTTCACAATTTTTTTAGCTTCTAATCTGGCTTTATTGTTGATATGGTAAATAAATTTTGATTGTCTTCTTTATTGAGCGATTTAAAATCTTTGATTTATCATCTGAATTTTCAAGTTTTATGTAGTTTTTGGGTTTTTTTTCCTTAAATTAATGTATGTAGTTAGCCATTAGATTTATAAACTAGGGTTTCGATTCTGGTGATTTGTGCGTCGTTTCCTCAGATTGAACGAAGATTTGGCTTTTTATTTAAAATTGTGGAAAGTCCAAACACAATTCCATATTGCAAGAATGAAAACAAAGGCACAATTCAAACATCCATTTTGTACCCTTTCAACTTTTCTAGTTTATAGCTATGTAAGAATTTAGGTGGTTCATCAGATTGGGTAATTTTAGTTTTCCTCTGTATTAGTTGATCAGCAGAAATTCAGTGATTAACATGAAGAGAATGGCCATGTATACTGTGTAAAATGTATGGCAAAAAATTGGACACGATGATGATGATATATATATATATATATATTTGTCATTGAAGTATGCTAGCAATGTTATATGTTATTAATTTTACTATTTATGTGAATCATTATATGATATATCTTATTTAGAGATAATTATTAAAAAAATCAAAGAAAGTATATAATATTATATCATGTACAATATAAAAAAACAAATATATAAAGGGTTGGGAATGCTCTGTTTTTTGTGATTCAAAAGAAAGGGAATTATCTTATTATTGTGTAGCTATTTGCTTTGTTCTTTTTTGCATTTATTAATGAAATTTGAACATTGAGAGCATTAAACTATTACATATTGCTTTGGCATAGCCATAAGTTGGAACTGCTCTCCAATAGCTCTATTCATTTTATTTATCATTTTATTTGTTTAAATATATGATAATAGCCATTACATTTATGGCATATTTGTTTAGACGGACAAGTCAAAGAGAACTACAATATAATAAACTGTTAGTTCTAGAATGAATTGTTCTTAAATTATTTAGCTGAAAATGATATATATTTACCTATTAATCCGATTTTCATGAGACAATGGATTAACAAATTTGTTGGACATAGAATCCAATCACATACCTCATGTCATGGTTTTAAAAATCTCGAACCGCCAAACCAGTCGACCAGGTTCTGGTTCACTGGGTTGATAAAACGAATTTTTTATTTTTTTTATTCTTTCTTTCTTTCTTATTATATTTATATATATATATATATATATAATATAAATTTAATTGGAAACTCTCTTTCAAGGGTCTCCTCTTGTGAGGAATCCCATTGAGAGCTTGAAATTATTGTGAAAGTCTATCTATTTATAAGAAAAAAATTCTTTCGAAAAAACTTAAGAAATCTATGTGGGATTCAATCAAATTTATTGGAGGGAAATTTAAAATTTTGATATCCATCCAAAATTTTTGCTCTGCTTTCAATCAAATTATTTGAATTAAAATCATATGGAGGGAATATTGAATATTTGATTTCTTCTTCCAAAATTAAAATTAATAATATTTTTAAATATATTTTTATATTTTTTAATAAAAAAAGTATTAAGAGAAATATTTAAGATTATTAAAATTTTTAATTTATAATTTTATTACTTATATTTTTATTTAAATATAATTTTAATATATTTATGACGTCACAGTTCGATTCTGGTTGAACCCGACGGTTGAACCGGTGACCCGTCTACCCGATCATTTTTACGATTCACTTACCGGCCCGGTTTTTAAAACATTGCCTCATGTATCAACGATGAAATCAGATTCATCGACACAACAGCCTAAACTTAGACCAAGTTTGGCATGTTCAGGAAAAGTCAAAAAGTTACTCAAAAAGTTAAAAAGTTAACACTATTCACCAAAAGTCAACAATTACGGCTGCACAACTTCAAATCCTAATTTTCTCCTACAAATCAATTTTTACAATTTTTTATTACACATTTTTTCATAAAAAGTCAAAAAGTTAACCCAAATATCTATATTTTCTTCCTTAATTTTTTAGTCCAAAAAGACAAAAAGTGTACTTATTTAGGACACTCCAAACAACCCCTTAGTTATTTTAGTTGACTTTTTGACTTTTTGGCTATTTTATGAGATGAAAAGGTTGTGTTTGGGATAATTTGTATTTTTTTTATTTTTTGTAGTTGAATAGGTACTTTGATCAATTAAGTCATAAGACAAACAAGATACATTAAAAACAAGATACAACAATCTGAAAATTTGACAATGTCAATGTGAGTATAATTTTTCCAGTAAAGAACAAATAACCCAAAAATATATATGACAAATGAGCCATTCCATTAGTTTAAAAGTTCAGTTTCATGTGTTGACAAGGGATAAAATATTTGGTGAAGTCGATTTCCTCTTTGATCATGCTCAAATTCAATGGAATGAAGTGCTTGAAATAATTTTTTGTGAGTGTAAAATGATTTTCTGTCTAATATTTGATGCAACTAGAAGATAGAATATTTAGGACTTTGCTTAATTTGATAATATTGTTTTCTGTTTTGCATAGCAACTGGAATGAATTTCTTTTTTTTCTTAGATCAGTACTAGAAAATGGAATCATAGGAGACACTGATTCGACTTTGAAATCATGTTATTATAATAAAAATTTAATTGGAAACTCTCTTTTAAGGGTCTCCTCTTGTGAGGAATCCCATTGAGAGCTTGAAATTATTGTGAAAGCTTCTATCTATTTATAAGAAAAAAATTCTTCCAAAAAACTCAAGAAATCTATGTGGGATTCAATCAAATTCATTGGAGGGAAACTTAAAATTTGATATCCCTCCAAAAATTTTGCTCTTCTTTCAATCAAAGTGTTTGAATTAAAATCATATGGAAGGAATATTAAATATTTGATTTCTTCTTCCAAAATGAAAATTAATAATATTTTTAAATATATTTTTATATTTTTTAATAAAAAAAGTATTAAGAGAAATATTTAAGATTATTAAAATTTTTAATTTATAATTTTATTACTTATATTTTTATTTAAATATAATTTTAATATATTTATGACGTCACAGTTCGATTCTGGTTGAACCCGACGGTTGAACCGGTGACCCGTCTACCCGATCATTTTTACGATTCACTTACCGGCCCGGTTTTTAAAACATTGCCTCATGTATCAACGATGAAATCAGATTCATCGACACAACAGCCTAAACTTAGACCAAGTTTGGCATGTTCAGGAAAAGTCAAAAAGTTACTCAAAAAGTTAAAAAGTTAACACTATTCACCAAAAGTCAACAATTACGGCTGCACAACTTCTAATCCTAATTTTCTCCTACAAATCAATTTTTTACAATTTTTTATTACACATTTTTTCATAAAAAGTCAAAAAGTTAACCCAAATATCTATATTTTCTTCCTTAATTTTTTAGTCCAAAAAGACAAAAAGTGTACTTATTTAGGACACTCCAAACAACCCCTTAGTTATTTTAGTTGACTTTTTGACTTTTTGGCTATTTTATGAGATGAAAAGGTTGTGTTTGGGATAAATTTGTATTTTTTTTTTATTTTTTGTAGTTGAATAGGTACTTTGATCAATTAAGTCATAAGACAAACAAGATACATTAAAAATAAGATACAACAATCTGAAAATTTGACAATGTCAATGTGAGTATAATTTCTCCAGTAAAGAACAAATAACCCAAAAATATATATGACAAATGAGCCATTCCATTAGTTTAAAAGTTCAGTTTCAT